CCTGATGCCTGCTAGTCCATTGATATGCCTTGGACCCAGTGGCTCCCTGCACCAGACTAATTTTCTGGGACAGTGGCTCAGTAGGTTTATTAAGGACTGAAGATTGGGCCCCTGTGTCCATCATGCATCTCATGGGCTTTCCCTCCACATATATGGTTACCCAAGACTCGGGGAGGGATCCGAGTCCCGTCCCCTCTAGTCACTGTCCATTTTGGCTAACATGACCTGGGCGTCATTATTGGGCCTGCTATTTGGTCCTGGGCGACCCTGGAGTTTGGGACATTCCTTCTTCCAGTGTCCATATTCCTTAGAATAGGCGCATTGTCCCTGGTCTAGCCTGGGTCGATCTCTTCGGGGATGGGGTGGGGGGGGCGGTCCATCCAGAACTCGGTCCAGCCAAACCCTGGACTCCTGCTAGCAATATCTTAGCCATCTCCTTTTGCTGTTTCTTGTTTTCCTTACTCTGGTGTTCCCTGTCCTCCTTCTGAATCCTTTCTTGTAGTTCCTGATTCTCCTTCCTGATTCTATCCTCTCGTTCTTCTGGGGTTTCTCGGGTGTTAAAAACCCTTTCGGCTACTTTCATCAGTTCCCGGATAGTCATTTCTCCAAGTCCTTCCTGCTTATATAGTTTCTTCCTGATATCTGGGGCAGCCTGATTTATGAAGGACATTATCACGGCCGACTGATTCACCTCTGTTAGTGGGTCTAGGGGGGTATACTGTCTGTATGCATCGTAAAGACACTCAAGGAATTCAGCCGGGCTTTCATTTTCCCCCTGCATTATTGCCTTTACCTTAGCCAAATTGGTAGGGCGGCGAGCTGCTGCCTGGAGGCCTGCCATAAGAGTCTGGCGGTAGACCCAGAGACGCTCCCTACCTTCTGCGTTCCCATAGTCCCAGTCGGGTCTGTTCAAAGGAAAACGATCATCAATCAGGTTCGGCAGGGTGGTCGGTCATCCATTGTCGCCAGGGACATTCTTTCTAGCTTCAGTGAGAATCCGCTCCCGTTCCTCGGTGGTGAATAGAGTCTTAAGGAGCTGCTGACAGTCATCCCATGTGGGACTGTGAGTATGCAAAATGGACTCGAACAGATCAGTCAGGCCTCTAGGGTCCTCAGAAAAAGGAGGATTCTGGGCTTTCCAGTTGTACAGGTCACTACTTGATAAGGGTCAATACTGATAGGTGTGTCCCCCATCGGGACCAGCACCACCCAAGGGCCCGCACTGGGAGGATGGGGGGCCCAGTGGAAGTGGAGGAGGGCTCCTCCTCTGAGGCTTCTTCTTGCTGTCTACGGGGCCTGAGTCCCCTCACCGGTCCGGAGACCGGGGCAGGGGGTGCAGATGGGGAGGCTGACGAGTGGGGAGGCTCAGGAGGGCCAGCTGCCTCTGGCTGGAGTGGCACGGCAGCGGCATATGGCAGGGGATGTACTTCAAAATCTAAGTCTATCAAGGACAGATGGAGAGTCGGTTCTTCCTGCAGAATAGGCTTCTTAGGGATTAATGGGAGTGGGGGTGTTCCCCGACACGGCCAGTTCGTGGGCCAGTCTGTAGGTGCCTCATGGATGAATGGCCGCAGCCAGGAAGGAGGGTCCTCTACTAAAGTCTGCCACATAAGGACGTAGGGATATTGATCAGGGTGGCCATGAAGACCGCATCTATTAATGACATCTCGGACCTTCTTAATTGTGTCCAAGGAGAAGGTACCTTGAGGAGGCCAGCCTACATTAAAGGTTGGCCATTCCACTGAGCAAAGGGTGTCAAACTTACCTTTCTTAATTTCCACGCCATAATTGTGTCCCTTAGCGCAGATTTCTGAAAAATGACTCAGAAAAAGGGTCTTAGGAGTTACCTGAGCCTGTCCCATGATGATCAAAAGAGATGAACAGAGGAGACAACAAAGAACAAGAGAGACAATCCAGCAGACAAACAAATTCACACAAGACTCTCCAACATACACAAGTACTGGCCGGTCAACCAGACTACTCTCACAGGTGTAATTCCATTCACACCAGATTCAGGATCCTTACCCAAAGACCACCCAAACGGCATCCACTGAGGACGTCGGCGTGGTTCCAGACTGTCAGGGATGTCTCCCACAACTTCCAATAGTGGAGCCTCCAGGGCTGTAACCCATTCCCTCCACTCAATGAGAATTCTCAACCAAATTCAGACGGGGACTCCAAGTCCCTCCAAACAGAGGTGGCCAATCCTCCTTCCACGGTCTTTTTCAATTAAACCTCGGTATCGGAGGCCGTTTGTTCCTCTCAGGGAGGGGCCAATCTCGCTGGGGCCTCCAGATGTTGGGGTCTGAGGCCGGCCACCTTCCGAGAGGCGAAAAGACACTCGTGACAATGTAAGCCACAAAGCGAGGTTTAGTTCTAGTTAGCTAGAGCTAGGGTCCGAGTATCCACCCGACGCAGCGGGGTTTCAACAAGGACCCTGAATGCAAAATTTAAGCAGGTTTTATACTCTTTTAAGCATCAATCATTGTCACACGGGAATTTTTCATGGCTTGGGGTCACATTTTTCTGACATTGCCCACATCCTGGTGGTGGGGTAAGATTACTTATTAGGAACTGGCAAAAACACCAGATGTTTACTTATCAGGTTTACTTGTCAGGAACTTGAAAAACACCAGATGTCTTAACATATTGACTCACATACCGTTCAGCAAGATCAATCAGAAACACTCCCTGTTCCCAGAAACCGTTCCACCTCCCTTTGTTCCAGGAAGTGGGGGCTCGAGGTTACCCAAGGGTCATGCTAGTTATGGCTGGTTTTAGGTTAAGTAGACTGCTAGTCAAAGGTACCCTAACACTGTATGTTCAGAATATACTCTGAATCTGATCCCATATCATTGTTTTCATTAACTACTATACTATGGTCCAATCTCCCATTATCTCTTTTCTGGAGTATTGCAATGATAGCCAAACAGATCTCCCACAGTCCTCTCTCTTCATAGCAGCCATTTCATGCCACTTATCTGCTAAGAACTTTCCACTGTCTTCTGATTTTATTCAGAGTAAAAGCCAAAGTTCTAAAATGACCTTCAGAATTCCATTAGATCTAGTCCCTGTCACCTCTCTGACTTTATTTGACTTTATTTCCTACTATTCTCCTTGTTTAGTCCATTCTAGACACCCTTGCCTCCTGTTCCTCCTATAACACATAAGCCATACTCTAACTTGAGGACCTTTGATTTTGCTATACCCTTAATTATTTTCATGGCTCACTACCTTATCTTTTTTCAGGTCTTTGCTGAAATATCAACTTTTTTTAATAACCTAAGTGAATGAATGAATGAATAGGTGCTATAAGGAAGAGCTATTTTCACATGCTTGCCCTTCTAACAGAAGTCAACACACAACTTTCAACATTTATCTAGGAGACATTATACATGTTGCTTTAGCAGGTGTTCTTGAACATATCCAGCACATAATGGAACAAATAGTTGGGATCCTTAGTCACTAAGAAAGCAGTATTCATTAGTAAACAGGAATATCAGATCTCTTGCGCTTCCTCCTTCTAAGCAATCAGAATCTGCAAGACATAACTACTCAGTTTAGGCAGTATTTAAATCACTGTACTATTAGAACATTTGGCTGTAGTCCAAGTTCTATATAGCATGATGAGTGACTCAGTAAATCACTTCTTTTTATTGTCTCAATTATTTTATTCCTATGATAAGATGTTTAATTTCACCCAGTTCCCAATTCAAGTTGTGATAATACGACAATATATACTTGGGTGCTTCAAGTTGGCACAGTTATGTATGTAATATGAAGCCTGAGGGGGAAAAACACCTTTCTTAAATCTAACAATTTCTAATAGGGCTACTGAAATTTGGTTCACAGTAGACTTAAAGTCTTTAGTCTTTCCTTTCTTCCTTTTTTTAACCCCACTTTCACTTAGCTTAACATCACTTCTTGGATTAAACTCAGCCTATTTTAGTTCTCACCTGCCAGTTTTTCAGGTTAACCTAGCTCAAAACCAAAGAAAAACGTTCAATCTGAGATATTAACGTGTGTAGTTCACCACAGGAATGGAGTTCACCATGGGCTGGAGGGTAGGGAGATAAAGAAAAGGACTGAGAAAGCAGATGAAAGTATAAAAGGATTGTAACATTCGATTTATAAACAGCTCACTTCAACCCAAGAAGTTTACCAGGGGCAAAGTAGCATGTTAGTTATTTTAGTAGTAAAATGGGCAAAATGATTATGCCATCAAGGAGTCAGGAGTCCTAGAATATGTGCCTAAAAAGCACACAAATTATTAAAACATAACTCAGAGGACATAAAGGAAATACTAAGAGAAATAAGACAGACATTAATTCAGAAATGTTACAATGCCAGGGATAGTCACATACATCAACAATCCTTCCAAAAATTCCAGGTAAGGTCAGAGGAAGGGTAAGTTTTTTATGGTCATAAAAGCTAGAAAGTTAATGTAGACTGGCTTTGTCCCCAACTTAAACCCCGAAGTTCATGCACCTTTCAGGATTCCGTCGCTAAAGGGAAGCTCCAGGGAGGAGTAGGAGAGCAGTGTCGGGATGCACACATTCGCAATCTCGCTGCAGGAAACAAAGAGCTCGGAGAAGCACTGTGGCTGCAGCACGGGAGGTGGGCCTGGCAGAAGGAACCCGAGATTGGGCGGGAACCAGCGTGGGGAAGAGGGAGGGGCTTTCAGGCTGAGGAAGACAGGCGAGGGGCATAACTGCAGTCCAAAAGCTAGTGCCCCTCATTCCCTCATCTTTCCTACCCCGGCTTTTCAGCGTTCACCGTTAGACACCTGGATTTCTGTAATCTGAATAACCAACATTCTAGAAGCACCGACCCCTGGACGGTGTGGGACAGTCAGGCAGGAGCCGCTGACCCCCAGGATCTCTCGGCCCCGCGGGCTCCTGGTCCCCGGAGGCCGGGCGGAGGGGGGCGGGCCGCGGACGCACCTGCCCGGCGCGGGGGGCGGGGCTTATGACGGCTGCGCGCTGACGTCTGCGCTGCCCCGCCCCGCCCCGCCGTGTGTTTACGTGGAGATGAAGATGGCGGCGATGACGGCGCGGCCCGTGCGGATGAGGACTATTCGCCAGTGAGCGCAGCTTGGTTCCGCTCCGGACGGGGAGCGCCAGCGCGGCCTTGCTGACCGGGACGCGGAGCTTGAGTCCCGCCTCCGTCTGAACCGACCTTTCCTTTCCCCCGACCCCTCCCTGCCTTCCCCGTAGAGGCCATGGAGGACGAGGAGCGGCAGAAGAAGCTGGAGGCTGGCAAAGCGAAGGTAGGAGCCCGAGGCCCGCGGGCCGCGGCGGGGGGCGGGGACCGGCGGGGGCCCCGAGGCCCGCGGAGGGAGGGCTGCAACCCGCGTGCTCTTCCCACGCCCCTCTTTCTCTCCGCGTTCCCGGAGGGACGCCGCTGCCACCACTAGCGGAGACACCTATGTTGTGACAGTGCTCTGGCCCCTTCCTCGCGAATGCGGGGTTAAGCCCTCTCCTGTGTCCCCGAAGCCGCTCACCAACTGCCTTTCAGTACCCAGCCTTTCACTTTCTTGAGGGAGTTTCTGGGCGGCGTAGGCACAGTGCTGTATTGCTAGGGTGGGGACTTAGGGCTTTTCTTTTTTCCGCGGGGGAATTGGCGCCCCGGTCACCAGCTCATCTGAAGTGGCACGTTGGCACCCAAGGGTGTGTATGATTGGCCGGTGACAGCTGCCTCGGCAGCGGCTTCAGTGCCACAAGTGCCAGCTGCGAACTTGGCTTTATGAAGGGGCGTTTTTAGCAGCATGTCTTTGTATGTCTGTTCGGAGGTCTTTGTCAAGCACGCGCTTTTATATCATGTGGGGTGGATCTGCTGGGGACCCAAAGATTCCATATACCAGAACAATACCTATAGTTTCCTCCTTTAAGTAATCTGTTTGTTGTGTATGTATCTGGTGAGCTTCGATTTTGTGTGTGTGTGTGTGTGATCCTGTAAAGTAAAACAATACAGATTTATAGCTGTTGCTAGTGGGCTTCATGAGCAATTTTGACCTAGACGAAAGATAAATGGAATAGCATAGTCCTCTTAAAAATTACTTGTTTGAGCGTATCTTTTGGCCGGACTGAAAGGCTCTCTTCTTCTGTACAATGAAGGTACCTTTTTATAGATTATATTGCCTTTTTAGAGATCGTTGTTAGCAATTACACCTGCACTACATTTAAAGGATAATGTATTTAATGGTGTTACCTCGCCTTCCTTCTTTCTTTCCTCTCTCCCCACATAAACAAAGGAAACCAGGCTAGTGGTTTCAGTCCTGCCTGAAGGACCCTACTGCCGAGATGGAGTAGATGTCCAATGCCCGTTTGTTAAAGGAATACACACATTAACTAGCTTCATTTTTCTAAAATAGTATTGGTCTTCATATGCCCCCTCTGTCTAAGGTCAAGGCTTAAATGCGTGTGTGTGGCCAAGTAGATTTTGTTACTCTAGAATCTGTAAATGGAGGTAATCGGGAATCAGGACATTTTCAGAAGCCTAAATTGCTTGTATTTGTGCACCTGGGCGAGCTCTGTGTATCCAAGGAATTGGAGGTGTGGTGTGGGCTCCCTTCCAAAAGCATTGAGGTTCTGATGAGATGTCTTCAATATTTGTAACATCCCCCAAAATATCTTTCCTAAATATATGTGAAGCAGTCATACTACCTGTGGTTCACTTTAGGCAGACCCATTTCACAAAAATTAAATCATCTGCTATGAGTAGCTGATTTGCCAAAATAGAATTTTTCCATGTGTGTATTTCTTTGTCTTTCAGAATTCTACTTAATGGGATAAATATGTGTTTTTTTCTCTTAGAGTTAGCTTTCATTGTAGAATATTGTTTTCTTCTAGAATTGAGCCGTTTTTCCAGTGAGAAATAAATCTGTGAGACTTGTTAGGCAAGGTTATGCTTGCTGCACTATTAACTGCACAGTATAAAAACAGTCATAATAATCTTTGAAGACAACTTGAAGAGAATCATTTTCAAAATTATGTAAGTATGATGGAATATTAATATAGTTATACCTTTGTGAAAACTGAGAGGAACATGGGAAATAGAGTGAAAACAGCATCATCAAAAATAGTATGTGAGCCCAGTATAGTGCGACATGCCTGCAATCCCAGCACTCAGGGGGCTGTGGCAGGGGAATGGTAAATTTGAGGTCATCCTGGGCTGCATACCAAGATCCTGTCTCAAAAAAAATAACATATGCATTGTTTTCATTGTATAAACATACATGCTTTTAGATTATATAAACCTAATTATAGATTATTAATTAACCTAATTATTAGATTATATAAACCTAATTATAAACCCTGAATTTATAAATGTCATTCAGAGGCTGAAGCTCTGTAATGCAGAGTGCAAGGCCTGAATTCAACACTAAAACATTTTAAGAATATTGAATTCCTGTTTTATACCAAGAACTAGAACTATAGAGGTGGTGCTCTATATTTCTGCTTTCCAGTTGCTCATAGTCACAGTGGCAGAGACTGACACTGGGTAGTAAGTACAATGAGAGAGTCAAATGTAGTGGGATTTGGGGTGATTTTTTTTTTCTCCCACAATTTGTTAAACATTTTTAATGCTGCTATCTCATTTTCTACAGTACTGTACAAAGAAGGCCCTTAGTATCGATATCAATGCAGTCTAGCATAATACCTATCAAATAATTGGTATTTAATAAGTATTTGCTTATTGAATGAATGAGCAAAATGACTAATGAATCTTTAATGGGTCCTGGCTTTCTTAGCATGGTTATAATTTAATAATAGCCATTCAGAATGCTCTTATTCGGAGCTATTATTGCTGACATCAGAAACCACTTCAGATTATCCAGACTTGGTTCTCCAAATGTCTCATTTGTTCATTAGACTTAATTATTGTATTTGATAACCTAGTTTTACAAATCACAACTCTTAAATCTTTTTCTTGGTAACTGACTGATGAGATATTCCATTGAAATTTTGCTTTTACCTAGACCTCATAATTGATTTTTTTTTTTGTGGGACCTAATCCACTTGCTTTAACATTTGAGCCACTCCACCAGCCCTGAAAATAATACTTTTTAAAATAAAGCTTCGCATGACTACAGTAAAATATACTTTATATTTTATAGCAACCCAAATCTACAATAATAGAATAAATTATGGCATTTGTAGCCATTAAAATAAATCTATAAAGACTTTTTGTGTTGGGAAAATGTCAGGTTAAGAAATTACCAAGAAAAGACTATATTGATATATGAAGACAACTGGAAAAACAATTGCACCAAGAAGTAAGTGGTGATTATCTCTGGGTAGTGGGTTATAGGCAATTGGAAGTTTCTTACCCTTTTGGTATTTTCCAGTTCTCTACAATATATTTATTTCATAATCAGACAAAAATGTTCAAATGTCATGTGTAAAAAATAATAAAGACTGATCAAATACACTATGATAAAGAACACGTTAGATTGCATGAGCATAATACACAACAAGAACATGAGGTGCAGAAAACTAGGTGTCCTACTTTCTATGGTCTTGGAACTGTAATTCTTACTCTAGTACTGCTTGTATTATACAGTTGGGATTTGACATTATTAGACATGTATGGATCTTACATTCTTACCCTTCTTTAGGTCATTTCTCATTGGTATAAACATGTTCATTTAGCCTTGTTCCTCCTAATTTGCCTTTTCTCCTTATTTACCGTTCTGTTTTTTTGTTTGGTGGTACTGGGGTTTGAATTTATGCTTGCTAGGCAAGTGCCCTAACACTTGAGCCATGCTCTCAGCTCTTTTTTGTCTTAGTTATTTTTCAAATAGGGTCTTGTGCTTTTTGCCCAAGGCAGGCCTCATATCATGATCCTCCCCATCTTTGCTTACCAGTAGCTGGAATTACAGGAGTGTACCACCAAGCCCATCTTGTTTGTTGAAATAGGGTCTTGTTAAATTTTTGCCCGAGCTGGCCACAAATCATTAATTCTCTCTCCTAAGTAGCTGTGGTTATAGGTAGTGCCACAACACCTGGCTGGCCTTATTTGCTGGTTTAGATTTGCCCTGACTAGAGAACCCAGAAACAGATTAAGGGAATGGTTTGTAAAAATTGAAAGCCTGTGGAGCCTGGTGGAATGGACTTTATGTTCAATTTAGTTTTTCTGCTGCTTGGTGGTGGTTTGATTTAACTGTCAGGCTCCTAGCTACGTCTTCAGTATTGATGTTGCAAGAATCTGCCCCGACACCTGTAAATATAACACATTATTGCATTATTAACTAAGTATTTTCAGAGCTGGGTTAACCCCATTTACAATGTGCTGACCTGACCAGAATGGCAACACAAAGCTCTCCTTGTGTTGAAACAAACTATCTCAACTCCACTGTGATGACCTCCTCTTTTTCTAAGTAAAATGATCTCTGAGCATATAAAGAAATTATTGTAACCTTAGTGAACAAAATTAAGTAGAGTACAGTTGTATATTTAGTATAAAGTTATTTCTAGAGATCATATTAGGTATACTTTTTAAAGTTCTAAGGGAATCCAGCAGAACACAATCTATTCATCATTTTATGTAATTGGCATTATTTATTGAATAATTACTAAAATTTTTGCCGTCCATATTCAGTAGCTTGTAATTATATGATTTCTTTTTAACAAGCATTTGCAGGTTGAAGCATAATGCCAATTCTGAGCAAAAAACTACAGGGTTCTGTGTGAACTGTCTTAAGTTATTGATAGCAAGACTTTTTGATTACTGTTTCCCCTATAATAAGCAAAGTTAGTTGTGAAAATTCTTCTTTCCATATTTCAGGTACACAACTTCACATCTAAGAAAGCTGTTCTCCTTCCCTGCTTTCTTTTGATGTTCTAGATTTCTATGCTTATGTGTCATAGAGCTTATTTAATTTTGAAAGTGCATGCAGCAGTTTGATGCCTTCATCAATATTCGTTTAACACTTGTGCATTTCTGTAATTTAAAACTAATTCATGACCTTCAGGCTTTGCTGAAATGAAAATCAGACTAAATGTGGTGTTCAGGGAGGTAAGATGGAGGAAAGAAGGGGCAGACCAGGCCTCTGGAAATGTATATTAAAGAAAGGTCTCTGAGCCAAATCCAAAAAGTAGTGGGACATGGACAGAAAAGACATGCTTTTGTTTGAAAGCAGTTTTTGTCCCACTCTGTCATAGTTTGCTCCCTTGAATATAGCCTATCTTTTTTTGCTGCTGCTTTTCAGTGTGCTGTCATTCAACAAGGAGGGTAGGTCTAAGGTGTTCTGTCAATGAAACTGAA